CGTGCGTGCGTGCGTGTGTGTGTGTGTGTGTGTGTGTGTAAACAGAAAGCATGAAGCCATCCCGATCGTTCATCAGCATCCAGCCATCACCACGAGCATCAACGCTCGCCGCTGGAATGTGTTGTACGCGCGCGCACAAGTCACAACCGGATGTGACCGGAAGCCCACGCATGCATGGCTGGCAGAATGCGAGTTGTTTAATGGCGCAGTAGGTTTTTTTTGTCGGTGCGTCGGTGGTTGCATGCGTGCTTCGTGCCGGGTGTTTGATACCGCGCGAGCTGTAACGCTGTAAGGTGGCCGAGTATTGGATGCGGCAACTGTGTCAATCTCTGCTGTGATCGAGCTGGCACTGATGCTGTTGTCGAGGAAGCTGGCAGCTGGTGGGAGATGCTCGTATCAGCGTTCTTACAAACACGCAGCTAATCCCGATGGCGCGGTATATACGGCAGCGTGCATATCTAGCTAACATTAGCTAAGCTTTGTTTTCTTTTCAGATCTCTATATCCTCTCCCTACACTATCTAATTATATCTCCATCTCCCTCCCTCTTCATGTCTCCCTCTCTCTCTCNTATATAACTAAGCTAGCCAACGATTGATGGGTTATTTACTCTACGCCCCACTTTGCCGCAGAGCATCGCATAGTGTCCAGTTCAGTCCTTAGTTCGTTAATTTAGCCATCAGAATGATGAAATAATGATATACGCGACAATGATGGAATGCGATATTAAGTAATGTTGTTCACTTACAGGATGCCGCCGAGAAGGAAATTACTTTTTGATAAAATTCGGTCGTTTCTAATCGAATACAATAGCGCACGTACATCTACGCATCTGACTATTGCCAGGCCGCTATTAAGCAAAATAGTTAATGAACATGTAATAACGCGGCGAGTCGTTCTTTGATCTTCTTCTCTCCCTATATATAATATCTATTAAATATTATCCTCCCCCCTCTGTCTCTCTCTACACACACATATATATATATATATAACGCATTTTATTTTTATTACGGTTCGATTCCAATGTCTGCTGAATTGCTTGATGAAGAAATGTATACATATAGAAAGCTCGCGTATTAAAACTTAAACACCCTTAACCTATTGTTTGAATTTGTTATAAATATATATATATATATATATATATATATATATATATATATACGCCATTATATGATATACGGTCATACCTTCTTGTGGTCTGCAATTTCATTGTAGATCTTCTTCTCTGCTGTTGTGTTCATGAAATCACCATAAAGCACGGGGGACGTTGTAACTACATCCTACGTATCAAAATCAATATGAAGATGACACAACGAATATAGCTTTCTACACATATACCTTTACTTATACTTATTCTTATATACGCATACCGATTATAAGATTACCATTTTCATTGATTCCACAACACATTCGACGGATCAGGTAAAAATACCCTTTACATAAAGTTATACATTTATTTCAAAACGACTTCTCTAGACTGACACGAACAGTCCCCGTGACTAAACCCAGCGTTGATTCTCAACGACTTGCCGAGTCAGTCTACGTCAATCTGCGTCAATGCTCACCTGATAGTCGGTACTGAAGTCGCTGTCCATCTTCGCCCGCAGCAGATTCTCAAACCAGTCACGGTCCTCGCCATTGATGAGCCGGTCTTGAAACACCCTGCAGTTCTCATGGTACCACAGCCGCAGCAGGTCTGGCACGGTCTGCGCGAGCAGCATAAACACCGATCACTTTGACAAGTTCAACCGCGGCAACCGTAACACACAATGGTAAACACATCGTTGAACTCTCAGGTGATCACATTCTTCCTACACTATAGGTGTAAATAGAAAACATCCGGGCAATTTCGATTATCGCACGCACCAAAACTGATCGCTATGTGAACCATGTATGAGCAGCAACTAATTATTTGCATCGAACGGGGATGCAAAATAGGAAATAGGAAAACAAATTCAATATAGGAATAATCCAGAGCCTTTTCACCATACATAATGACCAACGATGCAATGCACATTCAATTTAAACATTGTGAAAAAGAACACTCTTTTGCTAATAATATTTATGGTAGTGTAGTAATTATAAAAGAACATTTCGTCTGTATTTAAATTCAGCTATGAAGTATTGTTAAAATTTGGATGCGCTGCATTTACAACAACTTTTACAGTTACCATTATAGTTACATGCATCTTATTCCTTGGTTTCCCTCAGTTCTAATTGGCCACTAATAACCTATTAAACAACCCTAAAAGTTGTCTCTCTCTCTCTCTCGCTAAACGACATTGCAATTAGTAACGAGTAGCTACTCAGTCAGAGCGATAACCGGCTTGTGTTCAAAGTGGTGGGCAACTAAAACTGAACGAGATATGTCCAATTCAGGTATAATCGAATAACGCATTTAACCGAATATCTGATAAGATAATAATTCTAGAAATGAAGTTCAATCTGCTGTGTGATTGAGCTCACGTTGTCGTGGCAAAGTCGTTAACTAATGGATTAGCTTGCTTTCTGTAAAAATATCCTATTCGATACACACACGCACACACGCACGCACGCACGCACCCACAAGCACGCACGCACGCACGCACGCACAACACACACACACGCACACACACACACACACACGCACGCACCCACATACACACGCACACGCGCGCGCATACACACGCACGCACTCACGTACGCACACACGCACGCACCCACAAGCACGCACGCACGCACGCACAGCACACGCACACACACACACACACACATATATATATATATATATTAAAAACAGATTATAGATTGATTTTTTTTTACGTTTTCCAATAATGTTTGGACCAGGTTGTAAAAGAACACGAGTATTAACGATAAGCGATGTAAAATAGTCAGCGGAATCATTTGCAGATACGCCTGGCAAAATCTGGGAAT